CACTTACAAATAATTTGTTCAGTAATGTTAAAGAGTGTAGTACAGTATTATTAAACGACATAAGCGGATACATGACAAAACGAGTAGGGAATAGACATATTAATCTAAAAATCATTTTCAAAAATTTTGTTAAATGTGCAAGCACCAATAGTTTAAAAAATAGGTTCAGCAAACAGTTAAAAAAACAACAGAAAAGCAAAAGCTCCAAGTTTAGCCAACCACCGGTTCGCCAAAAAACTTGACAAGATCGATTTCACATCTTATTCTGCGTGCCTCCGTGTTCTGATCTCGTCGCGCGTAAATGCGACCCTCTCGTGTCCACACATATTTCCAACCGCTCTTAGAGCCCATTTGACGGGCCTTGAAGAATAACTGGCGATTTATACGGGTAAGACGCTCATTTATATAGAACTTCTTCGGCGAACCCGGCAGGCCAAAACCTGTAGTATCGGCACCGCGACGGACACGCGCGCTTTGTAACAGACGGTCACGCAGCGTTCGGCGCGCCAGGCGCACAGCAAGTGGTCGTGGCTGAACAGCGCCTTCTCCTTCTATATAACCTCGCAGTGGACCCATTCGCTGGATGCTTACAACGTCCTGTTCTTCAATTTTCACATTTAATTTTTCACCAATAAGCATAGCAAGTTGAGTCACGTTCTCACCCTTATGCTCAGGTATACAACTTATTTCTACATCCGTAAGGAGCTGTTCCTGATCACGATCGTTCAACTCGAACTTAAGACGCTCCAAAGTGTCGCTTAGCTTTTTGTTCTCATCCTTATATTTTTCCATGCATTCGTCTTTTTCGAGATTAGCCACCCGATTCTCTATCCCATCAACTCGCTTACCTAAGTCGCTGACGGCAAGGTAAAGCCTGTCGAACTTTGTTCCAAAGTTTACAAATTCATTGCGCATAGCGACAATTTCCGTACGTAACTCCTCTATCATCTTATTTGTAGCATCACAGCCACTGCAACTAGGTGATGAGTTCGAGGAACTACTCTGGCTTATTTCTGTTTGCACCTTAATCGGAGTCTCCGTATTATCTTTTCGTGGTTGTTAAGAAGTACAGCCCGGACAAAGCCATTTTGGAGATACTTTATAACTTTTGAATAACTTTAAACATATTCTGTCATAAATATTAGCACTACTGCTACATTTAATAATATCAGCCGGACTCACAAATTTCCCGCAAGCAGCGCACTTCGACATTCTAGCGTTAATATTTTATAAGGAGTTCAAATTAAACGAAGTTATGAATGTCGATGACGTCAGTAGTGAGCACGAAGTCGAGCGTAATTTTGTAGTGTGCTTAAGCAACTCTTTAGCGCGTTTTGTACAGCGGTTATTCACGATCAAAACGAACGGGGTTCGAGACTCTCGAATGTATGTACCCTCAAGTTATCACTTTTTCGACTTAGGAACTGCGCAAACATGTACTATTTCACTCTAAAATCTCCCACTGGGCGGAGTTAGTCCATATATACTGCACTAGAGTAATAAGGAATTGAAACTTGAGGAAGATATGAGAAGAACGGGAGATGTCCCGGATGATTGGCGATCCGCGGTCATTGTGGCTTTATATAAAGGTAAAGGTTCACATTTTGACTGCGGGTGCTATCGGGCGATCAGCTTGACCAGTTTAGCAAGTAAAGTTTACTCGAAGGTTTTGACACGTAGGATGCAAGAGAAATCGGAAAGATTCTTATGGGAGGCACAATGCGGATTTAGACCTGGAAGAGGATGCACGGATCAAATGTTTTCTCTCCGCATGATCACGGAGAAGCTTCTGAGTGTTAACCAGAGGATTTTCTGTGCTTTTTGTGGATCTGGAGAAAGCATTTGATAAGGTTATAAGGAAGAAAATGTGGGAACTGTTGCCGGGATATGGTGTGGATGGTCGATTGTTAAGGGCTGTGCAGTCACTTTACTATGACTGTAAAGCCTGTGTGCAGGTAGGGCATGACCTGTCACCCATGTTTAGCGTCCAAGCGGGCGTAAAACAGGGTTGTGTCATGTCTTCCTGACTGTTCATACTGTATCTCGACAGCTGTTTACAGAAGTTGAAAAATAGCTGTTTGGGTGTGAAATTGGGTGACATAAAAGTTAATTGTCTGCTGTATGCTGATGATGCAGTGCTTATTGCACCATCAGAAGTAGAAATGCAGGCATTAGTCACGTGTATGAAAGAGGAATGTGAAATTAAAGGTCTCCGTTTGAATGCTAATAAAACTAAGGTTCTGGTATTTGAAAAGGACGAAGAGAGAACGAAATGTGAAATATGGGTAAATCAGGAATGTCTAGAACAGGTAAATGAAATTGTATACTTGGGGAGTGCTTTCAGCCGGGATGGAAGATGTGATTTAGATGTGGATAGGCGTGTCGCTGCCGGAAACAAAGTCAATGGTGCCCTGAATGCATTAGTAAAAAAGGCAAGGTGTGGTGAAGAGTGCACGCCTTGCAATACATAACGCAGTGTTGGTACCGACTTTGTTATATGGCAGCGAAACCTGGGTATGCCATAAGAAGCATAAAAGCAAGTTGAATGCAGTGGAGATGCGATCTCTTCGTAAAATGTGTGGCGTTACCATAGCCGACCGAAAGCGAAACGAAGAGATTCGCAATATGGCAGGATTGAAAGATGACCTTATCACAAAAATTGATAGGGGCGTACTCCAATGGTTTGGGCACGTTGAACGAATGAGTGAAGACCGAATGGTGAAGAAAATATATAGAGCGAAAGTAAATATTAAAAGGTGTCGAGGTAGACCGAGACTAACTTTCGAAGACCATGTGAGCAAATTGCTCGAAGAGGGGAGGGTCAAGAGTACTCGGATACCTAGACGTGCATGTATGAAGAAGTTAATGAACCTGAAAGAAGCGAAAGAGGTATGTAAGGATCGTGACACTTGGTGATCTGTTCTCTCTGGCTACCCCGTTAGGGATTGTGCGTGAAGATAAGTAAGTAAGTAAGTAAGTAAGTAAGAAACTTGATAAATTGGCCAATCACAAATTTTTAAGAACGAATTTTGATAACAGAATTTGTAGCAACCCGACACACGAACGTATTCCACGCAGGCGCGGCACAAACTCTTATACTTATACTAACTCGTTCTTTAAGGATTCCCTCTATGCTAGTAACAACCCTATATAAACATATATGAAAATTATATTGACTAATTGTTGTTGTAACGATTTTCCAGTTAAGGCAATTTATACCATACAGCCTAGTCTGATGTGTATTTTGTTTAAACTGGAATATCTCTAATTCCTGACTTCCTGCAGTAGTATGACCGAAGAAAAAATGTTTAGGATCTTAAACTATATTTTACATATTTTGCATTTGTAGACGCAAAAAAAGTCAACTAAAATTTATTTGGGAGTTTAGTTGTTTTATTCATGATTCATGTAATTTAAGGAATTTTAAAAATAAAAATTTAATTAAACAAATAACACATTAAAAATGAATGATTCGAATTTATATACGATTATTTGAATATTTTTGCCGATTATTCGCTTATCAATGATTTTAATCATCCAAACACTACGGTAAGGCACATAGCGACATATCATTGAAACGACGTCAAGTAAAAAAGTTGATACTGGTTATTTTTTTAATATTTTGCTTTATTTGAAAAATTCAAGTTTAAATTAGCGATGAAAAACTAAACACGTTGTAATTAAATATAGATAACTTCATAATTCTTCGGATTTAGGTAAAATGTTATTGTAAATCGTATGAGTACGCTTGTGCAAAGTTATTGCGGAATGATTAATGTGAAACTTCAAAAGGTATTTCTAAGATTTGGTTGACTATAGTTAGTTTGAGTATAGTATATTTAAAATAAATGCATATTTTGGTTCATTAAAAATGATTTCCTTTTTACGTCATTTAATTACACTGTAAAATACACTGTATTTTTTTTTTTCATAAAACACTGTATTTTTCTCTGAAACCATGGAGGTTAGAGAACAGGAGAATGATCGCTACGTGCTAAAGCATTGCCCTCCTGTCCCTGAAAATTTGTAGAATTTATCGCCGCGCTGCTGTCGGTACGTAATATCTACGAAATAATTTTTTAATTTTTGACAAAAAGAAACATTAAAAAATGGGGAAATATTATAAATAAAATAATGATAATAATAAATCAATAATAATTAACAGTTTCTATTTGTAATAATTTAATAATATTTATAATAAGTAAAATTATTAAAATAATTATTCTCAAAAAAAAAAAGAAAAAAAAGGTAAATTATAATTAAAAACACAAAAAAAAAACGTCACCAAAAAAATAAAAAGCAGCCACCACGCAATCGGCACCCGCCACTGGTGTAGTACGCCGCATGCGATGGACCATCAATATGAATACAAACGCATTGTGGGCGTATTTTAGGGCGAAAGGGGGAGAAGTTGGAGGTTTCGCGTATCGGGCTAAGATGCATCGTCTTTTTACTGAGCTGGAGCCATCTATTACGTGAGGCTGTTCCCTCATCAAATGAAAATGCTACGACTGAGGATGCGGTGCCACAAGTTGCATAACAACCCGCACACGTGGATGCCGGCGTGAATACTCCAGTGGTTGCTGACTCAAATGATGATGGAACATTTACCCAGGAACTAGAAATAGAGCAAATGAGGAGTACATTGGAAGAGGCGATTGTGGAAACGCACAGTACGCCTCTCGAAAATCGACCTCGACTTCCCCGCATGGCCCTAAGCAAGCGGAATCGGGCTGTCGCGAGGGCTTTGAACCCAATGCTGGTGACCTATTTGGAACCTTTGCGAGACGGACTCAATTCTTTTTGGCACCGCGCTAGTAGTCTGCCGTACTATAGGCGCCAAGATTTCCACGGCCGGATGCCCTACTGGCCAAAGTAGCGCTATCCCAGTATGGAGAAGAAGAATTGAGGAACGTATCGCAAAGGCTAGAGCTCTCATCGTCAGACTGATATGCTTCAGATCAGGCAATAACAGGCCAAGAATTGTTCGCTCCGTCATGATGGCGTTTGCTGAGACAAATGTCAGTTTGTCCCAGCCGGATATAACGCAAAAACTGACGGTGCGTATAGATGATCTGAAGCAGAGAATCGCTGCTTGGGGAAAGCGGATTCGGCAATATACCGAGAGGTCGACACGGTTCAACCAAAATCGTCTCTTCCAGAGTGATCAGAAGAGGCTCTATGAATCATTGGAGCAACCAATGGTAAGTGGAACGGGCCCAGCAGCGAATCAGGCTGACACTGTAGCATTCTGGCGCGGCCTGTGGTCAGAGCCCGCAAACCACAGCGAGGGCCCTTAGACGAAAGGCGAGTCAGTGTGAGAGTATAATGCCCATAGACCCCGTCATTATAACGACGGATTACGTAGCTGAGGCGGTTCGTAGGGCCCCGAACTGGAAAACTGAACTCGATGGGCTGCATCACTACTGGCTGAAGGGGTTCGTGGTGTGTCACACTGTGCTCGCCCGACAGTTTCAAGAGGCTCTCAACCAGAAGTCGCTCCCGAGCCTCTTCATTACTGGGATCACTCATTTGGTTCCTAAAGACCAGGATACCACAGAGCCGAGCAAATACCGCCCCATCACGTGTCTACCTACCGTATACAAGACACTAACATCCATTTTGAGCGCGAGAATCACTCGTCACCTGGACTCAAATCAGGTGATGTCGCGCGCTCAAAATGGATTTCGGGCGGTGGTCGTGGAACCGAGGAATCACGTCTCATTGACGCGGTCATTGGTAAAGTGGTGAAACGCAACCATCGGAACTTGTCTACTGTCTGACAGACTACAAAAAGGCATTCGACTCGGTGCCCCATACATGTCTAAAGAGGGTCATCGAGCTGTACAAGATTGACTGTACAGTTAGAGACTTCCTCGAGCAGTGTATGGGACGGTTGCGGAAAGCCACATAAGGATAAGAAGGGGTATCTTCCAATGCGATTGTCTGAGTCCAATCTGGTTCTGCCTCTCTTTGAACCCTCTCAGTACTTTGCTGGAGGGCTCCGGGAGAGGATTTCAGCTTCGGAGGTACAAAAGTGACCCACCTTTTCTATATGGATGACCTCAAGTTGTACGCCTCCAGTCCCTCCCATCTTGTGGAATTGCTAAACATCACTTGTGATTTTAGCAATTCTATTAGAATGGAGCTGGGAACGGATAAGTGTGCGGTCCTCCATGTTGAAAGGGGAAGGGTTGCTAACTCTGAGGCCATAGATTTATCTATGTCCGTCAACTTAAAGACCCTTTCCGAGACTGAAACATACCGATACCTGGGTGTGCCACAGAACATCGGTATCTTAGAGGCTGGTATGAAGCAGTCAGTTCGCGACGTGTTTTATACAAGCTTGACCAAAGTGCTTAACAGCCTTTTGTCTGGTGTGAATAAGACACACGCATATAACGAATGGGTCATGCCTGTCCTCATGTATACCTTTGGCATACTCAGGTGGACTCAGAATGAGCTTAACGCCCTGGATAGAAAGGTCCGCATCACTATGACGTCCCATATGATGCATCATCCGTGATCGTCGGTAATGAGGCTGTACTTGCCAAGAAAGCATGGTGGGCGCGGCTTTTTGAGCGCGCTCACCATGCATAATCGTGAAGTGTGCAGCCTCCGTAATTACTTCCTAGCGAGAGCGGATGATCCATTCTATAAGGACGTCATTTCTTGTGATGAAGGACTTACCCCTCTATCCTTAGCCAACGAGCAATGGCAAGACCCGCCTGTGCAGAGCATTTCTGACCGGGAGACAGTATGGAAGGAGAAGGAGCTCCACGGTAGGTTCTACAAGGCTCTACATGAGACTTTCGTCGACACAGTAGCCTCCCTCCACTGGCTACGCTTTGGTGACCTCTTCGGGGAAACCGAGGGTTTTGTCTGTACGATACATCTTAAAGGATGACACCGTCGACATCTGTCGAGCTTGTCGCCATCCAGGTGAGTTGTTCGGCGCTTTCTAACTCTGAGTACTTGCACAGGCACAACCTAGTAGCCAGAATTCTTCACCAGGAGCTCGCTCTGAAATACGGTCCCGTGGCCGTGGACCGGAAATTGCCGTATTACAAGTACTTGCCGGAAGCCGTGCTCGAAAATGATCGCGCCAGACTCTATTGGGACCGGGCCATCATGACAGATAGTACTATTCTTGTGATAAGCCTGATATTGTGCTGATAGACCGGGCACAGTCAAGGATATTTTTGGTCGACATTACCATTCCGTATGACGAGAACCTCGTGAAAGCCGAAACAGATAAGCAAACAAAATATCTGGACCTGGCTCTCGAGGTGACCGACATGTGGGGTGATCTGCCGACCGAAATTATTCCTGTAATCGTTTCTACAAACGGGCTAATCCCAGTCAGTTCATCTGAGGTGGCTGGGACTACGTGACGGACCGCTCCAGGCTCAAATGCAGAAGGCGGTGCTCCTCGATACCGCTCGCATCTTCCGCTGGTTTCTTTCCCTTTCCCCCTAACCCTCGGCCGTTTGGTCTCCCCTGCTGAGGGTCCTCCATCTGGTTGGGCTTTTATTTATTTATGTATTCTTGTATTTATTTTATTTTAGGGAAATTTATGTGTATATTTTCATTTTCATTATCATTTATAATTATATATTTATAGAACCCAACCAGATGAGAAAACTATATAGATACCTCCATAAATAATAATCATTTTCGTTGTTTTCCTTTTTTTCTTTGAATGATATTATAATCTTTCATTGAGACAACTTAGCGATCGCAGTGCCTCACTTATTTTGTCCATATTTCCGGGACACTATTTTCTACAGCGATCGTTCTCCTGTTCTCTCACCTCCATGTCTCAAATACCGTAATTTAATGTAGACAACACAGTATTTTCGAAAATCTGATCTGGCAACCCTGAGTGTGCCTGTCATATTTCGATTACTACGATCGTAGACAGAGAACTACGATGTTTATGAAATATTATGTACTCGATTATCTTATCGGTAAAGTTCTCAATTATTATTTATGATTATGATATTATTATTTTAAATGTTTATAATAGAAAGAAAGCATATATCGCAATAAAAATACTTACGTATGAAATGTAACTCCACCTTTTTGTGAATTTGAAGTATTAGACTTCTTTTTTCACACGGTAACCGCACAAATCGTCATTTTTAAAGAGTATCTACAATGACGGAATCGATTCTTGTAGTGACGAAATCGTTTCCGTAAACAGTTTTTATAAACGCACAAGATTTTTAAATCCAATACAATGCGAGACGGGTCCATTGGATCGAATGGTCTAAGGTTAATACACTTTTAAGTATTTTCAACATCAATATTCTCAAATAGCTAATCAAATCACATCTTTTAAGTTAGCATATTATAAACGATAATAATAATTATAGGGCCGATACAGATGCAAATGTCTAAAGTCTAAAGCGCGCGCTTTTACTTTACATGGATTTTCCCACAGACAATTTAGTTTTGGGTTATTAAGCTATTGCATAGCTTCTATCGCGGGCCTTGAGCGCGGGGACCGAATCCAGAAATTCCGTAACGAAAAAAAACCTCACGCTCCCCACTCCGACGGGCACGGAGGTGTGGCGTTGAAAGCCGTGCATCGTCTAACGTCGTTTCAGTCCATCGGCAGACTTCGGCACGGTGTTTGTGTGCGTGCGACTAGACGTATGCGTGTACACTAGCTGCTAACTCAATGATAAAAATTCCTGAATAACCTACATGTATTGTAAGATATTAAAAATATTTTAAACAATATTAACTTCTCATTTATTCAATAAGAGAAAAAAATTGTTTTCTTATCGGTCACCACGCTCAAAAAGTGTAACTTGATTTAATATCAAAGACTTAACTGCATAAATAAAATAAATAAATAATTATAATTGCATAAGTTGATAAAAAATGCTATGCAATAGCTTTACCGCGGCAGTCACCGAGTGCCACACGTATTTTTTTTTATATCTTTTAGACAAATTTAGATTTTTATTGTTTACAAACCTTGTCTGCGTTGACTGAAAACAACAAATAAAAAAAAAGCTACAAATATTGCCAAATAAATTATGTAAATTAGCCTACGGGTTACGGAGGAGATAGATTGACGGAGAAAATAATCGTTTTCTTGCGCCATGGGAGCTCCGCTCCAATAAGTTAGTATTTTCAGAAAAATAAAATATTATGAAAAAAGTAAAACTATCCTCCTATAAGTCAATAAAAATTATGTTTAATAAATACTGTAAAGATAAATAAAAATTGTAATACGTACTTGTTGAAAAATAAAGAAGACAAACAATTATTGAATTCAATTGAGAAATAAAATTAGTCAACTTTTTAGGTGCTAAATGGTTTCTTCTATCATTGGATAACATTCCAGTTTCTGAAAATAAGCGCTCTCAATGAACTAATGTCGCTGGTTGTTGTGTTGTTGATATGAATGACAGACTTTGTATAATCGTCACAAAAAGTGCACACAACGAACGAACCGCTCTTTTACCCTTTTACTGGCTCACTTGATTCGTTCATGTAAAGTGCACAGTCAGCCCAAACTTGAGTTAGGGAGATCCAACTCGAGCTAACTCGAGTTGACCCATCGCTAATCTTGTCTTGGGGTAAAATTTTAGCACAGAACACTATTACTCCTATCGGAGAAGAACGACAACTTCATACAAAATTTAAGAAATGATATATAACCACTAGCGCCATCTATCGTCAGCCTCCTGCACTTCTCGTGTGGCGGGAAAATTTGAATGTGGTCTTTTTTGTTTTTTTTTATTTGAGGTATTTTTGGGTTTCCTATCCCAGCGCTAAATAAAACAACAAAAATTACAAAATTTCTATTTATTTATTCAAAATAAAAATATAAATTGAAATAAAAAACATACATAACTTAAGAAACAATTTCTCCAGCAGCTTAGTTCTTTCTATAAAGACATTTGATGGATTTAAACATGAAAAGAAAATCAATAATGATTACATTTCAATTACTTAAGTAAACAATAATAAAGAATTGAAATAAGATTTACAATAATGGATGAATTGATAATATGCACAATTATTGTCTACAATAACCAAAATATCAATATTTTAATCTAAAACAAGTTAATAAATAAGCTCCTACACACAAGTGCAAAGTGCAACATTCACAAATAATAATTTTGTTTTGATAATATTTGGTTGTCTATCTATTTCCCTGAATTGACACTAAAAATTTTGTCTCTATATTATATGCAATATATTAAGTATTGAATGCAGCTTATAAATAGAATAATTTTAATTCAAAATTATAAAACATATTAAATATTAGATTACAAAA